GAGTGGATTAAGAGAACAAAGAAGAACAAAGAAAATATATCAAAGCCAAGTATGTCTATTAATGTGGAAAGGAAAAATTGCATCTTGGGACAGAAACAATAGAAAATAAAAGGAGGTGGAGAGATCATGGAATAGCAGTAAGAACCAAGGCAGAGGAAAATTTGACAACTTCAAGGACAGTGGGTAAATAAGTAAAGAAAAGTGGGTAGAGATTTGTTTTATGTTTATTACGGTAGGCACATAGTAAATGCCTGATGGATAAGATAAAGGGAATGATGGTGTCAAAGGCTAACTCAGAAGTTCTCAATCTCTAGTATACATAAGAACTACCTGAACTGTTTGGTTAAAACACTGAGTCTTGAGTCTGGTGAATTTTTTCACCAGAAATTCCAATTCACCCACTGATTTAAGGGTATATATGCAAAGAGACAAGCAAAGACTGGTCGGAAGCAATGAAGCATGATGAAAATATTGAGGAAATTTAGGCTTTGTCTTGAATTCTAAAAATAATGCTTATTACCTATTTTCCTTTGTAAAAGTAACACATGCTCATTTGAAAGAGTTGAAAAATAAGAGGAGAAGGAAAGTATAACAGTTTGTTAGTCAGGAATAGCTGCTGTTAACATTGAAGTATATTTTCTGCTAGTTTTTATTTCTGATTAGTTTTGAGGAGGTTTTTTGTTGTTTATATAGTTTTAACAGTACCGTTTATGCTGTTTAATATCCTGCTTTTATAACATGTCCTAACACAAAGTTACTTCATTTTTAACATCTGCTTAATATTCACAATAGTCAGTTCTCTTTTCTCCTTTGCTAACAGAACTCAGTTTTGTCCAGACAGAGGTTTCAGGGAAGGCTGGCTTCAGTTTAATGCACAGAAGGTGAATTTCATTTAGTCTAAGTCTACCATGGTGTATTTCTAGTCCCCTTGTCTGTGGTTGGCAGAGAAAGGAGCGAGTGACCTAATTCTGGCCAATAAGCTAAGAGGACAAGTCTGTGCACTGGATTTATGGGACCAATTCTAAGTACCTAAACAGTGATACAAGGAAGCGATAATTCTTTTTTCTGCTGATGGAATGTACATAAGAAGGAAGCACTGGAGCTGGTGGTTGGAGCGTTTGCAGTCATCTTGTGATCATAAATAGACCTGTTTACACACTAAAGATGGAAGAAGAGAGTAGTAGTGAGGATTGGACTAGGGATGATCCTCTCACTCCAACTGATTATTCATTCCAGTACCCAACTTTGAGACTTCTTTTTCTGTAAGAAAATCTATCCCCTATTGTTTAAACTCCTATTAGTCAGGTTTTCTGTTACAGGTAGTGGAAAACACCCTTACAGGTATAGCATTATAATTTAACAGTTTACTCTTATAGACTATTTGTGCTATTTACAGTTTTTCACTATCAGTTTTGCCTTGGATGGTTTTAAGAAAAAAGCTACATAGCTTAGATAATAAGGTAATTCGTGTTGGGGGGCGGGGGGGGGGCCCAACAAGCAATAAAGAAAAGAAACAGGAACAAACTTGAAATATCTCAGATCATCAAAGCTGAATCATTCTGAGTCTCCACTCCCTTTATTGCTCATGACTGTCAGCAGAGGTGGTTATCAGTGGCAAGTTATATGTCAGAAGGAGAAATTGGGAAATACAGTTTTAATACAGCATACTAATAAAGATGAGGACCAATGATCTTTCAGATACAAAGTCATTCCTGTTTGCAGCATGTTATATAGTTTTATTAACTTTTTCTGTCTTTAATATTGGACTATTAAAATTGCTTAGGTGAAAAGAAATACAGCCTATTGTGCTATAATAATAATAACCCACCTTATATTAAAGTTTGCTATAGAAACTACACTGTGTTTAATACAAATGAATCTAGTCTATCATGTTGATAACAGTCAAGATCTAATGCTTCCCAAGTGCCTTCAAGGGATATGTTGCCCCTCTAGAATCGAAACTGGGACAAGGGTTCCTGATTGAATGTTGCTTAAGTGCAGAGGTCCAAATATCTATGCTAACATCTGACAAAATGACAAGTAGAAGGAGCTCCCAGGAACTACCTCCGATTTAATCACTACTGGGTCATTCAGACTATTTATAATTTGAGGTTTTAGATTTGTTTACTTTTAAAATATTTAGTTGTCCTAGCGTCAAATTTTACAGAGGCCATCTCCTGTAATTTTACTTTACAATAGATTACAATGTACTTTATCTTAGGGATTATTTAAAATTCCACACTTAGATTTCAAAATGAGATTAAAGTTACACTGTTGAGCATGAAGTTCCTCAGCACTGTGGTTATACCTGGTGGTATTTCCCATTCCTGGTCTCTGGCCAGGAGTATTGATTCATGAGTTGACTATGGTAGAGGATATAAGGAAAACACAGGTTAATCTAAAACTCAAATAATGACTCCTCTCTGAATCAAAAAAACACACCAAACCACAGCAGATCAAGTTCATAAGATACAAGATATCATTTTCCCTGTGATGGCTCATAAATCTGTCTCACATAAGATTCATTTCCTGCATACTTGGACATTCTAAAGAAGAAGAAGAAAACAAAACTCAGAATTTGGAGAGGAATCCACCGTTTAAAAGTTCACCTGAGATCATGAAGCATGTGCAGGCCAGATCCTTTCTAAATTTGAAAGGACACTGGAATTAAGAATCTAAATTGAGGGAAACAGTAGCCCCAACATAAATTTTTAAAAGATCTAAGTAGTCAAAATTTTGAAAATATGCTACTAAATATTGACAGGCAGGGCCTCCCCGGTGGCGCAGCGGTTGAGCGCTGGGTTGCGAAGCTGCCTGCAGCCTCTGCAGTGCCAGTTCGATCCCCGGCTGCTCCCCGGCCACCAGAGGAGGGTCCCACATGGTGCACAGACCTCTCCTGCCGCCCGCTGCTCCCCTCAGCAGTATACTTTGGTCCTTCTGCCTGCTCTGCTCCCTGCTCTGGCTCTGGTGAATTCTCTCACCCTCCCGTGCTTCTGACTGTACCCAGTGCTTGTATAAAATAAATAAATAAATAAATCTTTAAAAAAAATATTGACAGGCAGAAACCAATCATTAAAATCATTGGAAACTAGCACTGGACTTGGCACATGAATATTTGTTAAATTATAAATTAACCTTAACTTTTGAAATAGTACATGGGAGGGAATGGGAACAGTTGTCCACTTTTCCTCTGTTTCTCCTCATCTACCTCAGGTTCCCATTTTTCCAATTAAAATAAATAGAGGAACAATATTCTGGTTATATCAGCCTATAACTCCCTGTGACATGGACTTCAAGGATATGCCTGAGCTTGATAGCGAGCAAGGGTCATTCCTTGATAATTCCACTGAACCCTGCGGGATGGAACTGTGACGCTGGTAGTCAGTTGGGGTGGGTGGGGCAGCAAGACTGACTACATGGAAAAAGGCTGTAGGATTAGGGGAGCTCTAGGGACAGTCAATGTGTAACCCTGCCCTAAAGTATTCAAATCTTCTGTGCCAAAGCAGGCAGGTCTTGAGAGAGTAGGGGTAGGGAGGTCACTGAGTTAATTCTGTACAAACAAAAGAAAATAAACAGCAATTTCATTCCTCTAAGCACCACACACACATATGCACCCTACACTCCATTCCTCCCCCCTCTACTCAGTGAAGCATTTGGGCCCAGACCATGTTGGGAAATGCATTTGTGTGAGCAGTAGACACACAGACTAGTGAGTAGACACTTTGTTGGTGTCTGGTAAGAAACATTAATTAAGACACATCAATCTCTGGTAAGAAGCAGATGGGACTTCCAGCAAGCTCCCTGAAAACAGAGAAAGCAGTGAGTCCAGAACATTTTTTGAATCCTCTTCCTAAGCTGTACTGAACAAGGCACTGGTGAGAAATTTTGAATCTGACCCTCAAATCCCTACCTATCTTTCTGGAGGGTTCTAAGGTACAAAAATCGAATATTTTTGCCTGCTGTCACCCTGAAGATGAAGCATGTCATACCCATGCATATAAAAAAATCTGAGAATATCTAATTTCCCGTTCAGTATTAAAGTTTGTGAGAAACTACTAGACAACAACCATAGACTCCTCTGATGTTCTCTCTTTCACTTCAATTGTTTTCCTTCCAGTTTCTGTAAAAGTACTACCGTTTATCTGTATCCAAAGTTCCTCACTCAAATCCTACACCAGATTGTCATTAGTGTCATATGCCTCAGGAACTACTTGGGAAAGGATGAAATGCCCCAAAAGGTGACTGCACATTTGGCAAGAGCTCTATATACAGAGTAACCTGCACTTTTGGCATTTTCCCAGGGGCAAAAGGCCAACCAGTGATGGAAACCTGCTAGTGACCTAATTCAGTTTGCTTCGCAGAGAAATCCAAGCCTTCTAGAGGAAAGGATCTCCACCCTTAGAAAAAAATATTTTGTGCAAACATAGCTAAGTAGTTTCTCCTCCTGTTCCCTATCTTCCAGAAGGCTGTACTTTCTGGCACGCTGCTATAGGAGGATTTTACTTCTTCCCTGACGCAAGGTAAATTGTCTCTGTAGTGCTAAATCATAGTGTTCAAAGTCCAATGGTAAGAGAAGTTGCCCATCATAAACTTTGACAATAGGTCAAGGACTTTAAAAAAATGAAGAGGTAAGAAGTCCCTTCTTTTTCCTTATTGTGTCTCTCCCACTTTGTGTGTAGGAAATGACTACATTGGAATTGGATGTTATTAATGATTATTGTATCGCTTTTATCTGAAGGAATAATACTTGGGGAATCAGAATAAAAAAAGAAGATAAAACCTCAGGGTTATCAAATTTTAATAACTTTGAAAAACAAAAAGGTTGTACATGTTGTCCAACTCCAAAATCCCACAGGAGCTGAAGTTTCAGTAAGAGAATTATGAGGTCTTATTTTAAAAACCTAGGGATAAAGTATGCCCTTCAATATTGAAATATTTGAGAGGCAACCCAGTCTTCCAGCATCCAGAGGAAAAAATAGCATGACACTTTTGCCAGAGTGTTGAAACAAACAAGAAAAAGTTTTATTTTGAAAATACAGTCTTTAAAGATAAATTTGGCTTCCATTTTCCATATCTAGGTACATCCAACAAGATACAAAAACCAAAAAAAAAAAAAAAACCAACAAAAACAAAAAATAACAAAGACCCATGACATTATGTACAGAGCTCTAAAATGAGCTGTGAATATCTACACGAAACTAGCATATGCTCTTGGTGAAGGGATTTACGTGTGTGGCTTTCTACAGTTCTCAGTCCTCACGAAGAAGAAGAATTAACTCCCTGGGGCTGCAGGTATGGCTGCAGCAAGGGAGAGCTGGGGTCTGTGAAGGGGGGGCGACCCCCAGGTGGGAGCCGTGGAGAAGTGTCTGGGGAGGGGAGCAGCGGCGGCAGGGGACAGATCCTGGGCTTCTCTAGAAGTCCTGCCGCGGGGTGTGAGTCAGGCTGTGCCGCCGCAGATCACAGTTTCGCCTGAACACTTTGCCGCACTGCTCGCAGCTGTAGGGCTTGATGTCTGTATGGGTGAGAAGGTGAGTTTTCAGATTACTTCTCTGATTAAAGGTTCTTCCACATGTGGGACATTTGTGTGGAGATTCCTGTTCAGATGTGAAGCAAGCAAAGGATTAATCCTTCACACCACCACTGCACCTTTCTCAATAGTTTCTGACTTATCGGTATCACAAGCGTTAACATAACACCCGCATGACAACAAAAGAGGGAACGTGCAGGAACAAATCTGTACTCCTAATCCTCCAATCACGAAAACACACGCGCAGGCACACACAGAGGCCCGATTACACTGATAACTGTTGGTGGCCACCGAGGGGTGGGCTTTGTGATTTCCAGCTCTTTACATTTCATCACCATGTCATAGGCAGGAAAAAGGGGAAGGAAAAACTCTAATCCTCTCTTAAGGAATGACATTCTCCCGGGGTTATAAGGCTCCTCTTTGCTGGAAAATTAAACTATTCCTCAATGTTCTGAAAACTACAAATTATGAGACCCCTGGGAGAGAGCGAGTATGGGATTTCATCATGCCTCCATTATCAAAATTACCTTTATTTCCTCCTAAACACGAAAGCTTTAAATGCAGGGCAGATCAGATGAAAAAAATAATAATTCTAAAATTAGAATCTAGAAGAAAGACAGTGGCCTGTTCTTTAAGAAAAATATATATGTTTATGTTAAATAAGATTAATTTTATGTAGGAAAAAAAAAAACAACGAAAGCTGCTTACCCCACCTAGAAATCTAATCTAAATAGAACCTTTTGAGAGAAAGACATTGCCAGCGAATACCTTTTATAGAGCAAAAATGATAAAACAGAACCAGTCACTGTTTTTAAGCAAGAAAACAAACTTACCTGCATGTGTAAAGTTTTGTGAACTGCAAGAGTTCTAGATTGACAAAATCCTTTCCCACACTCCTGACATTTGAAGGGTTTTTCTTTGGAATGGATATACCTGAAAATCAATATAAGGTTTCATTGAAATGGCTTTAGCACCCCTGTCAGGAGTTTCTTTTGACAATTACTCAAAATGAAGTTGTGAGAGGACAAAAGAAACAGGATTCCCACTTATGTTTTTAGATGGTATTCCCTCCTGTGTAATTCTGTTTATGGTTAACCTCAACTAACAGATTCTTCAAAACATTCACTGGCCGCCGGCTTTATCTACACTTGATCGCCCTCTCTGGCATATTCTGGAGCTCAAAATGGAGACGATTGCAGCCCTTCTTGGCCTCTATGGTTTTCTTTGGGATTTAAACCAGTCAAATCAGGATGTAAGGGAAGGCCCAATTTAGCAGGACTGATTTTAGTGAATCCCTTAATAACCAGGGAAGATCACACAGAAGTTCCACCTTGGGTGGGGAATAGCAAGCACAGCCTCAGAGAAGATAACACCACCCTCACTGCTGGGACTTTTCCCGGATGAAAACACTTAAGTTATAATAGTTCTTCAACTGTCATTTATTAATGCAGAGTTTAAGGTTGCAGAGAAGGGGTGAGAGCTGTTTTTAAATTCAGTGATCTCACCACCCCCACCCCCCCTTTTCCATATTAGTTTTAAAGAAAGGTCGCCTTGGCAGGCTCAGGGCTGCACCTGGGGGGCAGTAAGGAAGGGTGAGAACCCAGGGGAGGTGGCCTAAGTAGATTTCCAGAAAGGGTTCTAAGAGAGCCGAGAACGGCGCCCACAATGGGAAGGACTTCAGGGTCCCTAGGTTGTATTTGCTCCCCCATTTATACCACCCCTCAGACCAGACTGGGGTGAAACTGATACTAGGATCAAGGCCCACCCACCAGATTTTAATTGCCTAAGGATGGTGAAAGGTATCAGGGGCCTGTTGAGGAAATGTAGGTGTTGGGGGTTAGTTGTAAATGGCTGAGGGAAGGTTTTTGGGGTAGATACAAGTGCAGAGGGTTATTTTAGTGATACTTGGGTGTCTATCAGACTGGGCTTGGTGTCCTGAACAAATTCTCCTTCCCTCCCAGGTCAACCTCTTTCCCCACCTCACCTGTGATCCCGCAGATGATCTTGTCTCCTGAAGGCCTTGTGGCAGATGTCACATGTGTACGGCCTCTCGTCTGTGTGGGTTCTCTCATGGATGAGCAAGTTGTAGGATTTGGTAAAGTGTCTGCCGCAAAACTTGCAGATAAATTCTTTTTTCGTTTTGGAGGGCAACCTCCCTCGGGAGGGCTTTCTGTCCGGAGTCAATTTACTGAGGCCGGAGATGGGGCTACTGAGGCCCGGGCTCAGCTTGGTCAGGTCTCCCATCTTAGGGGGGTCCTCTTGCGTGGCGGCCACCGCCAAGTTGGCAAAGTCAAAACGGGGCCGATCCTTGTGCAAGGCCGGGAGGACATGGGCGATGGCTCCCTGCTTGGGGTGGAAGAGGTGGGTGGTAAAGGGCAGAGCCGGGAAGGGGAAGCGCGCATCCACCAGCCCCTGGGCCGCCGCCATCTCCGTGATGGTGGAGCGGGTGATCTCGTGCACGTTGGGGTACCCCAGTGTCCAGTGGTTCATGTGCATGGTCTGCACGGCACTGAGGCCGTACAGGCCCTGCAGGTGGTCCACCGCGGCGGGGAAGGTGTTCACCGCCTGCAGGAAGGAGTAATTGGTGAGCTGCAGCGACGGATGGAGCGGGATGGGCGCCGGCAGGGCCTTGCTCCCCATGTTCCTGGATGCTGGGGGGCGGAGGGAGCCGCCCCTTTCTTCCAGGACTCAGAGGCGGGTGGGCGTGGGGCTCCGCCGGAAACAGAGACAACAGCGCGAAGAGAAACCCCTAAAAATGGCAAGGAGAGAGGGGGACAGTCAGGGCTGTCATCCAGGCCGGGCGGTCCGCCCTGGGGCGCCCGCACGCGTTACCACACCTTCCTTCTAAATCTCTCTTCCCACCTTACTTCATGGTCCCCAAAAGGAGCAGCGAGGGAACCGCTTAGCGCCTGCCGGGTGAGTCGCAGGACCTCGGCCTGGGGCCTGGGTGTCAAGCAAGGCGGGAAGTGGCCTCCTGGCGAGCAGGGCGCCCCGCGGCCCTCCCGGGCGCCCGCAGGAAGGTCGGATTCCGGGCACGCCCCGAGCGGGAGACCCGTGCCCGCGGAGAGAGAGGCGGGCAGAGGGGCTGCTCGGAGCCACCCGCGGCCAGGCCACCCGCCCCCACCCTGCCCGGCGAAGATCGGCCAACCGCGACGGCCCGCGACGCCAACGTCCGCAGGTCGCGGTCGAGCCGCAGCAGCCGCGGCGCTCCCGAGTTCCCCGGGGAACGGCAGTTGTGGGTCCGACCCAGGCCTCGAGGGTCCGACTCAGCCCTGGAGCTGCGGCTTCTCGCGCGGCGCCCCGCGACGGCATTTCCACCCCCGCCCGCGCGGCCGCTTTCCCGCGCTGACTCGGGTGGCGTCCAGGGTGCGGGGGCGCGGCGGGGCCCGCGAGGTGCTCCCGGGCCCGCGAGGTGCTCCCGGGGCCGCAGGGCCGCGGAGGGGCCCGCCTCGCCCCGCGCTGACCTCGGAGGTTTTCTTTTTCCTTCCTCTGCCTCAGTCCCATTTATCAGCGGTGACGGGCCGCGGGAAAGAAAAGTGACACCTCGAGGGCTGGGTTCGGCCTCGAGTCGCCCCCTCCTCCTTCCCAGGGGCCGTCCCCTCCCGCCCCCCACCAAGATCCCTTCCAGATGGTTCAGGATCTCCGGGGGGTGGGGCGGGCGGAGAAGTCCCTGAGGCCGGAACCCCTTCCTGCAGACCGCGCGCCAAGCTCTCTGGAGGCCGGAGTGGCTTCCCTGCCTGGCACGAGGAGCGGCCCCTACGCCCAGGAGGCCCGGACAGAAGGAAGAAGAGGGAAGAAACGGAGAACCGGGAAAGAGGAGGGGCAGGGGAGCCACAGCGGCCGCATTCACTGGGGCCTGGCCCGCCTGGAGGGAGCTGGTTAATGCACCTGGAGACCTGCGCTGGGACCACCGGGAAGGCCTGACCCCCGGTCTGCGGCCTGGGCCTAAGCAGGGAGCGTGCACTCCCTTCTTGCTGCCCGCCCCAATGGCAACCCCGAGCTGTTTTCGGTCCAGGTACTCCTAGGCTCCTCACCTGCATTCGGGGTGAGCCTACTTTCTGACACCCCCCCCCCCCGTACCCCCCTCATGCCAGCTCCTTTTTAGCAGCGAGTTTTTGCTCCTCGGCGGCCTGGGCCTGGCCTCTAAGGGCGGCTCTCACGGCTCAGGTGTCGAACTCGCAGCTGAGCGCTTTCCGCGGACGGGGGGCTGGCGGGCCAGTCTGAGCCAGCAACCTTTACGCGGCTTTTGAACCCAGCAGGAAAATGGGAAAGTATGGCCAGCCTTCCCTCACCACCCATCCCTTTCTGCGCTTGGGTTTTCTTCTCTAGAGCGTTTTTCTGGTGTCTGTGGTTCTGAGGGCAGATATAGGGGGCTGCGCTAATGATACTGAGCTCTGGCCTGGCAGAACCCAGCTTCTGGGTCGGGCCCACACCTTCCCTCTTCCTGTGGAAAGTTCAGAGACAGGGATTTATTAATGTACAGCTTCTGCCTGGTGGTATGTGGTCTGGGAGTTCAGGCCTGGAGTTAATGAGAGGTGTGTAGCAGTCAGAGGGTCTCAGTCAGACCATTCAACCGAAACTGTAAACCTCCATTAGTAACAAACTTTCCCACCACAAATCACGATTCATTTTTGTTCCGCGGCAAGCACTCTCCTAGAGAGGTAAGGAAAAAAGAATTCGGCTAAGGTTCCTGCTAATCTATCTGATTATTTCCTCTTCCATTAAAAATAATAAATACACACCTTATTTCCTTCCTTTTGCAGAAGGATTTCCCAGAGTTTCCAAATATTTACTCTCGTGTTAAAAAGTGGTCTCCCCCATAGAAAAGAAACTGAAATTACTATTTGGGCATATTTCCGGACGAGGTTTCTTAGAACTAAATACAGGAGCCAAAGTGCAACTCTCACCATATTTTTTGTATTTGTACATAGGTGTGTGTGTGTGGGGGGGGGGGAGATTGTAGATTGAAGAAATACCAAGACCTGCAATTTCAATTCCAAATGCAGGACATGAACTCTGCCATAAAGGTTACACATTAATTCTTCCAGTAGACAGTTGAGTGCCATCTTCCTTCCCTTTTCTCCAAATGATTTATAACACAGAAATCAATAACTATTATAATTCAGCTTCATGGAGTGACAAAAATGCTATTTTATAGTATGCGTTTGTTTTAATTTATAGGACGGATAATTTCTTCATGGAGGAAGAGCACGCCATTGGTGCCCATTTACAAATTGAACAATCCTAAATAGCCAACAAACAATTTTGTCATAAATAGTTTGGGACTTTACATTTCTACTCTCCCACTGAGTTGCTGGAAATATATGTCATAAGATATTTGAAGTCAATGCAGAGATCTAAAGTACTTTCGTTTTGTCTAGAGCTGAGCATGTAGTTCCCACACTCAGTTTCAGGCAGAAACAGTGATCATTGTCTGCTGTCATTGCTCCACCATCCTGTTCCGGACCATTGGTTACTTTTAATTTTGCAAGGAAAGAAACTTAAACCAATGAATAGACATAAATATTTCAGTGAAGCTGAGACTAGTTTCCTTTCAGCAGTCTTTTCCCCAGGAATTTCCAAGCATGTACATAAGTTTTGTAAAATTTAGTTCACTAGCTGTCAACAAGTGAAATGTGTACATAACTAATTTCAGTTCAGTGAAGCTTTCAAAACATGGAGAAAAAAGGTACGTGGTAATTCGATAAGGAGTCTCGGTCTTTGGTAATGGTGTTATTATACTGAATTATCTAAAAATAATATACAGTCAGGGGTCATCTGCTAAAACCTGTCCGTTGGTGTCTGCAAGAAAAGACTGATGGATTGATAGCCTCGCTGAATTTCAGCCCCTGTCACAATAGAATTTTACATATATCAGGGAGCTATATCGTCCAAGGGACTCTTCGGAGATAATTTAAAAAAAAAAAAAATTTTTTTTTTTTGGTAAATGGCTAGAATGGATCAGGTGAAAAGAGGAAAACGACCGCGAAGTTCCTGCCCCCTCGCAGCGCCTCTGCCTTCCCAAGGAGTTAATTAAATTAAGATGCCTTCCGCATAATCTGGGTTCTGTTTCTCTCTGCTCCCTCGCTCCCCCTGCGTGAGTAATTTTCTTGTTCTACTCAGGACTGCAGTTTGTTTAGTAGAGAAAGTCGCTGTCTGCGCCGTTGCGCTCGGGAAACGCCAGCCGTCTTTTGTTCTCTGCTAACAGGTAGAGAGACGGATCTAGCGCTCACTCCACAAACACCTTTTTCTCATTCCTTCCTACAACCGCGACTCCACTCTCCATTGCTATTTCTCCAGAACCCAAGGGTTTAAACCCCGGGGGAAATTTGCCTTCTGGCCCCCTCCTGCAGGCCTGGCGGGTGGAAGGAAAATCAAACCCCCAGCTCTAGATTAGGGGATTACCTAGGATTGAACTACTTTTCCCCCCTTGAAACGCGCTGGCTAGGCAGGCACTGTGTGTCCCGTCACGTCCGCGCAGCGATGCCGCGGTTGCCCCGGGGCTGGTGGACCAGAAATTCTATGGCAGGGTCAGAAACACCATAGGGCTGGATTTTTTTTTTTTTTTTTAAATCTCAAAGTACGTCGATCCGCTTTTATAAGAAGCTTTGCTGAATGCTTAGATAAAATGTCGCAAAACAAAACTAAAAGCAGAACGTAAAAGTCTGAGTCGTTGGGTGTTAGCTGGGAGTGCAGCGCCTGGGATCCGATAAAGTGAAAAACACAATGCCCTGGGCTTGCATCCGTACGAGTTCTTTTCACAATTTCTCAACCTGCGGCACGCTGGACCGAGAATCTGAGTGCCCCCTGCACCCTTCCTTCCTTAGGGTGGCTGCAGCCCCTTCCCAGAGAGGACACTCACCTCCCGTGGAAAGGTTCGTCTAGGCAGTGGCGTTTAGATCCAGTCCAGGCAGGGAGACGCACGGCTTGGAAAGGTCTTTGGGTCCACGCTGGGCAAACTTCTTTTACAGCGCGGAGTCCCGGGAGCCGCGGACATGATCCGGAAGACCACGAGCAGCAAAGCTGAGAGTGGATCCTCGCCTTCGTCCGAGCCCGTGGACGTGGACCGCGTCCCGGGGCGCTTGGAGCGCGCTCAGAGCTCGCCCGGAACCCTGCGCCTCCGCGAGTCTCTCGCCGCCAACTCCGGGTAAGGTCGAGGGCTGCAGCCTCGCAGGGCCATCACACTCCAGCAGCGAGCGCGCGAGCTCTGTCCCCGCCCGCGCCCCTAGGCTGCTCGCGGCCGGGAGTCTAGGGCTTTAGTAGCAGCCCCGCCTCCCCTTCGGGCGGGCGTCCTGCAGCCGTGCGGGGCCCTCGGCGCCCAGGCTCCGCCTCCGCGCCCAGCGCCCGCTAATGGTCCACTCTGTTTACTTGTGTTTGGATAGCAACTGAGTCTTAAAGGCACAGGTTTGCTCGAGGTTTCTCTGTTACCGAGACAGAGCGGAGCCTAAGGTATCTCGGTTCAAAACACACACACAACGCCCACCCCCTTCTTTCTCGATGCCACTTTTCCTTATAATGTGAGGAACTGAACAACTGGTTCTCTGCTTCTAAAACCCCCCGCAGAGAAACCCAAAAGGGCATTTTGTAATTTCACTTGGCACGCTCACTGATTTAATTTTCACATCTTAACATGTTTAACATAACCGTCTTCTTCACAGGGTAAATTCAATCAGTTCTAGATTGTAATCTCCAATATATATCAACCTTGCCCCAATTTTAAAATACAGTCTTGTACATACTTTTGGTCAATTATGACTATAAGTGTAGTTTGCTTTCTCCAGCTGTTTTCAAAACGATGTTTGTTTATAGAGGTGACAATTGACTAATTTCGTAATTACTGCAAAGACATATGTGGAATGCCCCAGGAGAAATTTCTTCCAATATTTAAGCTTTAATCAGCCAATGTACATTTCATAAGCAGTTAACCAACTTGGTTAAAGGGGTGGGCATCTGCATCCCATTGTTAAACAATACAGAATTCATCTGGAATGGGCGAAGAACAAGCATTTAGAAAATTAGGAAAGCACTATTCTAGCTTCTCAAAATATGTGTATCTTCATGCCCAGCAAAAATAGATTTCATTGTTCAGTGGTCAAAAAACTTAATCGAATTTGAAGTGCAGTGATACATCTTTCGGCTTCTTCTGAAGGTTTAGCCCTGTGTGGTTGTAACTACATAAGGCACTTCAGCCACTCTGAAAGTAGGGTGAACCGAGTGATAGAAAGGGAATGTCACCCACACGCTTTAAAGTCTCTTTTCAGATGGAAGCTGCCCGAGCAATACTGAGCAAAATGCCCTTTGTCCCTGAAGAATGGCCAGAGGAAATTTGCTTTAGCCTGAGGAGTCCATGCTTTGAGGGGCTCAGCTTTTTCAGGCAAAACTCTGTACAATTTATACGTGTTCCACGAAAAGATGGCTTTGGGTGTGCCACCTCAAAGAATAATGAAAATAACCTCAATCGTGCAGGGAAGTGGACAAATACAAGCAGAAGACTAAAAATTGCCAGAAGGTTAACCAGTGTTGAGGGAGCCCCGCATAGGCTGTGAGATATTTTATTAAGGTTAGAGTCCTTCTACATAATTTCTGTCGAGATGGATAGAATTTTTCGTTCCTTTGGTAAAACATAACTTAGGAATAGCAGATCTTTTTTTCCCCCTTTCTTTCCAAATTCAAATTCACAAAGATTAAAAAGTGAGCTTGGAACGCAGACCGGGCTGTATAATAGCCGTCAGTATTTAACTGCTTCAAAGTCGATTTGACAAACAGCGTGGAAGTAGCAGAATGCCTAAGAATTCAGGGTTTAAAAACAAGTTCTCCCCAGTGTATTCTATGGGGGTGCTTTCATTTTAGCGCTCAGTCCTGCGCCCCCGAGATGGGGATGCCTGTGGTCCCCTCTCTCTAACCACCTCATTCCTTCCCCAGCTTTTCTCAATTTGGAAGATTTGGAGGAACTTTCTCTTCTTTCAGACCCCCAGGACACACACTCGCGGGGTGGTGACCTGAAGGGTGTTTCTAAGCTTCCCATTTCCTTTTCACAAAAGTGAAGGCAGCTACCCAGCGGCGGGCTTCACACCTTCCCATCCTGTGCGTGTGAGTGCTGCGTGCGGAACCCTTTGCTTTTCCCGCGGGGTAGACAGAATTTCCAGCCACCCAAGAGCTGCGCCCTCTTCCCTCAAATCTCCTGAGCCCAAGTTTTTCCATAAACATGTTTACCTCGCCCACCCTAGCCTCCGAAGTTCCACACTGCAGCCTGGGCCATGCTCCCCGGAGCGCTGCTGTCGCTTGAAATTTAGGGGAAAGTCCGGGATCTGCGGGCTTTGGGGGAAGCCGCGAGGCTGGGCAGAGCCTCGGCAGCCTCCAGGCCCTGCAGCCACAACCGGCAGGTGCTCACCCCATGCCGAGAACAAGACAGAGCCTGAGCTTGGCGCGGCACGGCCAGCACGGCTCCCAGGACTACCTCCGCGTCCACCCGGGGCGGGCCCCTGAGTTTCTCCACGCTCTGCCCGGGGCAAACCCCCTGCCCCCGTCAGCGACCAGAGCGCAGCGTGGAGGGGGCCCACATAGGAGCAGCCTCGTCGGCCGGGATCCCCAGGCGAAGACGCCCGGCACAGAGGATAGGCCAGTCGGCCACGGCGAGTTGTGGGGACCTGGGGTGTGAAGACAACAGTCCCGGAGCCTAGGGCGGCCGCGCTGCTCCCGAGGGCTGAGGCTCTGTGCAGGCGTCCACTCCCCTAGCGCGCTCCAGGAGCTCCGCTGCGGCTTCCTCTGACATTTCCGCCGACTCGGTCATCTGCTGTCCTCACGGCTCTGGGCTTTCGACACCAAGGACGTTTCCAGGGAAATGGCTAGCAGACTGACGAGGAGCGCGCAAGCAGTCGCTGCTTGCACCCGAACCGCCGAAAGTTTACGCCCCTACACTAAGGGACCGAGGCTTGGGAGAGGAAACGGGAGGAGCCGCAGGAGGTTGGGGCCCGCAGCTGAGCCCCCTTGCCTCTGGCCCACCCACAAGGCCCTGCCAGTTGAGCAGGTGTCGGACATAGACTTTTCTGGAGTTGACTCTGAGCTTCTTCTCCCCTCTGACCGCCCGGTGCTGACATGCTAAGAACTCTTACCCTTTAAAATGCAAATTTTGGAACCCCCATCACTTTGCAGAGACCCTAGCTGCCATGATCTCTGAGGACTTGCCTCCTTTCTCCCCTGGCTTCTCCTGCCTCTGCGGGGCGGGAACCTTTTGCATTTGAACTTCCCTCACGGTTTGCTACTTTTCGTTGGAGCCCGACAAGTTAGGAGCCCAGCTGGGCGCGCGCACTCCAGCCCCAGAGAAATGAGGTAGCTGGCCAAGCCCAGATCGCGGGCACGGGACGCAGAATGAAGGTGTGGAAGCGAGGGTCAAAAACGAAGGGAAAGCATCTTTTTAAAAAGCGCGTTCGAGTCAGGGCTGCAAACCCGGCTGGGAAAGGAAAGCGCAGCAGCTGGCTGGAGCTGAGCGGCCGGCGGGAAGAGCCGCAGCGCCCCCTGCAGGCAAGGACCTAGCACTACGTGGCGCGGGCGCCCGGGGCGAGCGCTTAGGGGACCTGCGGCCGGGTGTGCGCGCTGGGTAGCCAGATCCGCGCCCGCCTCTGTTTCTTTTCATCTCTCCTGGGCCCCTTTGCCGCGGAGGAAGAGTCGCGTGTAATGCAGGGTCATTGGGGAGAGGGCCTGGGCCTGTTGTCAGGGCCAGTAAGTCGTTCGATTCCTACTAGCCCTGGGGTCTTTGTGAGGGACACATACATTGGACCCTAAGCTGCTCCTCTCCTGGAGTGTTTTTCTAAAACGGATCTTCGGACTCGCGACGCCGCTCAGAGTGGCTTTGACTCCCCAAGTTGGAGGGGAAACTATTTCCGATCCCAACGCAGGGCGTTTGCTGGGACTCGGCTGCTGATGGAGCAGACCCCAAAGTCTCGGACGCAGTGGCGGCGGGAGAAGCGAAGAGAGGTTTCTCGCGAGTCTGCATTTAGAAAGGCTGTCCCAATCCCCTCTTCCAGCCCCCCATTCCCCTTCGCCCCTCTTCGCCCCAGCATTTGAGGCTCCGTGGGAGTGGATCCCTGGGTGAACGATGCTTTCCTAAGCCTCAGACAGGGAAGAGGAACTTCTAGGCGTGCGGGGGGCGCGGAAACCCTCCTGGGGCTTGGGGGCGGGACCACCACTCACGCACACCGCCTGCAGCCGTCTGATGCCCAAGCCCACCCCCTTCCAGGGTTCCACCCGGAGCGTCAGTTTCAGGTGCCCGAGGCCGGGTCAAACCCAGCTCCATCATCTCTAGGGACCGGGAGGGGGCGTGGAGGGCGTGTTGGCTCCGATGGCGCCCTCCCTGCGCGGGGTCCCTCATTCAACGTCCTTTCGCTGGAGAACACAACGCGCGCGCTTCCAGTCACCAGCTTTCAGGGCACTGGACGAAAAGGGAGCGCTCCCTGCGGAGTGCGAAGACGCGACCCGAGGGTTGGCTGCGTAGCCCCAGCTAGGACAGCAACTTCCCTAAGCCGGGGTCCCACTCCGGTCCGGCTTTCCCGGGTGAGGCCCCGCGCGCCACTTCGGTGAGAACCAAAGCCCCCGCCAGGCTGCACGGCTCGTGGTCAGCCCTGCGAAAGCCGCAGGGCGCCGCCCTAGAGAGGGAGATCCACCCGGCACCTTCGCGCCACCCGGAGTCCGAAGAGGTCTCAGGGATAGAAGGGGCCGCGGCCGGCGGGCACCAGCACGCGTTGGGTGTGGGTGGGGCCCGGCTGCTGCCAGGCCGGCGCCTGCAGCCCAGGGTGTGGGCGCGGGACCCCAGGGCGCACGGGAACAGGGCGCACGGGAACAGGGCGCACATTGTCGTTCAGTGCCCCTAGGGATGTGAATCTTCTGCGGTTTGCCTCGCCACAAAGAGATAGGTCCTCTCCTGTGCTCCTGCGTCAAAGCACGGCTTCGAGATGGACATGCTTTTCCAACCGAGCCGCCAGTGTCCATGACCAGGAAGAGCCGCTTAGTGGCGGAGGACAAGCCCTGGCGCTCCCCAGGAGGGAGGGCCCGGTGGGTGACGCCCCTCTGCCCACCTGCACAACTAAGACTGCCCCCGTTCTCCACAAAAAAAGACTGGAACAAGGTTTGCGCAACTGTATTTATTAGGTTTTCACTTAAAAATCGCTTTTAAAACATGATAACTTGCCTAAACATTGGGAACACTCAAACGCAGCTCTGACTTCCTGTGATCTCC